CAGCTTTTATTACAGGTATTCATATAAAAGACCTCTCAGGTTGGGCAGAGCTCAGAAGCACATCATTTCTTTGTCCAAATTAGGTTTTAATTTTGACACCTGCTATCACCAGGCAGAAAGAGAAAGCCTTCACAAGAGAACTTATAAAATAGTGTATGTGGCCATGAAGAAAGAGGTGAGTGGATGTCATTATCTAAAGTTCTTTGTCTTGGCTTGGACATGTGCCTGGTACACAGAAATTTAAAGAAAGTGATTTCTCTCAAAATAAATACACCAACCTAAGAAGATTAAGAAAATAACTATGCCACCTTTTTGATGTATGACTGTAAGCATGTGTTGCAGCTGGCATTGAAATGTTCCCCCAAAGCCTCCCACACACATAGGTGGCACTTTTCTGGGGTGCCTAGGTGGAGGGAGTGTTTTACTGGGATTAAACATGTGTGGTAATTAGATGGGTTTGGCATAATTCTGGGGATGGATAGTGAAAGCCTCACCCCTGATTGTGGGTGGCCCCAATCAAACTTGTGCAGCTTTGAAGGACTATAAAGGGAGAGAGAGGATACAGGCTTGCTGCTCCCTGATTGCTGTTCCTGTAGCTTCCTGCCTTGCCATGGACTGTTCCTCCTCTACTATGCCCCTCTGCCATGCCACCTCCTATGGAGTCTGCCAAATATAGACTGAAATCTCTACAAATTGTGAACTAAAGTAAACCTTTCCTCCTTTAACTTTGGGTATTTCATTCCGGCAATAAGAAAAGTACTAAGACAGCATGTCATATGTAATTTATTCCCATATGGTGACTTTATTTTCTTGTGATGCCATCTAGTAATGGAAAAATACTAGTAATGGAAATATTTATTGAGTGTTACCTATGTGTTGAGTACTATGAAAATTACTTGAGATAAATTATTACAGTTAATAATCCCAAGAAAGGCAACAGGTCCTATGTTTGATGACATAATTTTAGAGATACAGTAACTCAACAAAAAGAGTATAAAGATGTTTGTAAAGTTCAGACGATGTTGAGATGCAGGCCTTGCTATGTCTGTGGTATATTAGATAATATATCTGTATCACAAACTGTGACAAAACTCCATGCATAAGACAGTGAGCGTTCTATTCCTCATGAATCTATAGATGGGCCTCTTCTATTCTCTGGACTTCTGTTCTCAGCTGGGCTTACTCATCTCTCTAGAGTCAGCCATGGTGAATAGCCAGCTCTGTGGATCTTGTTTGTGCTTACAGGTTTGGGTATCAACTGACAATCGAACCTGTGACATCTCCCATTAAAACAAATAGGATCTGCTTTAGTGAGCTTCTCATTCTGCAGGAGGCCAGTCTGGTCTTGTTTTCAAGTTAGTGTGCGGTTCCAAGAAAGTAAAATAAAAAAGGTCTCTTGAGGCTGGGCTCCAAACCAATGCAGAGCCATGTGTATGACATTGTGTGGGCTAAGGAAAGAGACACGGCCAGACCAAATTTAAGAGGTAAGGAAATAAGACCTGTCTCTTGATCAGAAGCTAAAAGGCATATTGCAAGGATACATTAATATGGAGAATATGGGAGTTCAGTTTTTCTACACTGCATGTTACGTTTCTACTACTGTGTCCTTGTTGCATCCTGGTACCTTTTTGAAAAAGCAGCTCTGCAGGAGAAGATACACTCTGAGTTAAAAATCTCTTTCTCCCTCTCAATTAGCAAGCACAGCTTTCTCCTGCTCTGCCTTTGACTACTACTAAGAATCTTTGTTTTACCTCACACTCCCAATATGACATTTCTGCCTAGGACCCAGCCTACTATGGTCTGGATCCTTTGAGACTACAAGATAAATTCAGTCTCTTCTCATTTAGCTTATGATGTCAGATGTTGTGTTTCATCAATGAAAAAGTTAGCTAATATAGAAAATTAGTGCTGGATAAATGCATTTGTTGCTTAGATTTTACCTGACAGTGTGGTTGAGAAGTCTTTGAAGCTGGCCTGTGGGAGGAGTTTGGGAAGGTTTGAATAAATATAACAAAGATGTCCTAGAATGCTGTAAACAATATCTGAGGACCGGAATCCTGATAGGAACGTCAACAGTAAAGGCCAGTTCACGTTTCAGCGGAGAATAAGGTCTCCATTGACAGCTAGACTAGTGTATGTTATGGTCTGACAGATATTTTCTCTACATTTTAATCATGTCCTGAGATCTTGTAGGAGGCTAATTATGTCAATGGATTAATTCAGTGAAAGAAATGTCAAGGCAACAGTACTGCTGGCTAGTTTTAGCCAGATTTATGTATGAGAAACTAGTGTAGAAGCTGGAGCAGAAAATTTTGAAACACTTAAACTTGGGCTCAGGAGGAACCATGTGTAAAGTTGAGGACAGAGAGGGCATGAATGCTGAAAATATTGGCACCATTAAAAGGAAACCAAATATTTTGTACAGGAAAAAGAAGAAAAATGCTTTGAAGGTATCTCAGGAATTTGCAAGACCCTGCTCATGAGATCGCTTGGACCCCCTGCTCAGGAAAACCAGCCTCCAGGACTGTTTTTGTGGGATGCATTTCACCATGCTCAGAACATACAAGGACTCAGTTCACCACAGCAATGGTCCAAAAGAGTCCAGCTGCGTTTTGTGCTGGTGTAAAATCTTGGCATCATCCCTCTGTGTACAGTTATGTTTAAGACTTACAGGGTCAGGAAGGTTTCCTCCTAAATTTTAAAGGAAGGTTTGGAAGGCCAAGCAAATGGTCCCTGAGAGGACAGTATGTGAAGCTATAGGAATGAAGGCAAAGGCATGGTGAAAACTAAGGGAAGTCAGAGATGTCAAGAACAAGAAATGTTTGTGGAGAAAAGCTCTAGACCATGAGAAGAATTAACCATGGGAGCTGAACCCACAAGGACATGAATATAGGGCTTCTCAATTCCTCTGAATTCACATCTTAGTACCATGAAACCTGCACACTGGATATGAAGCGATGGATTTAATGTCTACCTTGCCTACTTTCAGTCTTGAGGTCTGATTGCTGTCTATATCACTGTTTCTCCTTTTTGGAATGGGAAGGTTCACCCTGTGCCATTGTACCTTGGGATTATTCAACTTTCCATTTTTGTAGAGGTTCACAACTAAGAATTTGCCTTGAGGCTCAAAAGCAACTTGCACTTGGACTTTTCAAAATTGCTAGAACTTTTCACACCTTGGGGAAGAGGTAATTGCATTTTGGGTTGCAGGCAAAGCAGTTGTATCATGTTAGATGGAATCATAAATTTATTACTGTGCTTATTTGGAGATTAGGTATGGTTAAAGGAGTTATGTTTGGATGTGAAGTTTAGAAGGGATAGGGTGTAGCCATTAGATTAAGATGTCATCTTAAATGATTTTGAAATCAGCTCAGGAGACTTGTAGAGTATATTTCTGAGTACGTGCAGATGGAACATATAAGTATGGCCTTGAAGCTTACATACTGTCTCCAGTTCCTTTCTCTCTGGCACTGTTCTTCTCTGCTTTTTGGCCACCATGAACTAAGCATCTTTACTCCAATGTGCTCTTCCAACATGATGTTTCTGCCTTGGAATCAGCTGACCATGGACTGAATCCTCTGAAACACTGAACCTAGTTAAACTTTTGCTTTAAATTGTGGGTACCAGGTATTTGGTCTCAGCCATGGGACAGCTGACCAGCACATTTTCTCTGCTCTCTTTCCTGACCCATGGAGCAGACTAGAGCAGATCTATTTGTTCTTCTACATGACAACCATTTTATAGCCAAAGTCTTTTATCAATATCTTCATTAATTCTTTATTCTTTTCCAGACCTAATTATTCTCTCTGATGAGATCAATATGAAATTACTTTATTCTAGGTACACAGGGTGACAATATTCCCTCCTTATGGGGTACCTAAAATCATCTGCATACTTTGAAAGCTGTCACACGTGTGAAGTCCGGTATCATAAAAAGCAACTATGCATTCTGCTTTAATTAATACAGTACAATGAAAAACATTTTGTTCATCCTCTCCCAGTTTTTCCTTTTCTAATTCCACTTCATTATTATTTCATTAAATTCAAGCTGTTTTCTCATTCACAGTAAATGATTTAGAATATGATTTAGAATATGACTGTCATACCTATAGTTGTGCAGTATATTCTAGAACCAAAGAAAGTATGTCTGCCTTTTTCTCTTTGTCATTTTCTTAGTAAACTCAACCCTATCCTATTACTCAGAAGTTGTAAATGGGGCTGCTCATATCAAGTCAATCAAAGGTCCTCTACTGAGATGTTCCAAATGTCAGGCTTTGTGATAACTTAACAGGGCACAAAAATGTGTGAATCTAGACATTTGTACTTGAATAGTTTGCATGCTCTTCCACAAGCATGTGGTGGAAAGGATTCTTTTTCAGGTAAAACTCAGGCTTTTAGGGGTATGTGCTTACTTTCCCGGGTGTGCCCTACCCCTTCTTTCTGTAACTGAAAGAATATATAGTTTAGAAAAGACAATAGAGTCATTTTAAAGTATCAGGATAGTACCCAGAACCCACACTGGAAGATGGTACTCCCACCAAGTCCCAGATATCATATTGGCATCTTCTGCCAATGATCTCAGGCACAGCTGTGGTCTCTAGTCTTCAGGTTCACATTTTGAAAAGTCCGCATTTCATCTCAACTGCAAGCCTCCAGTCTTGGATTTTCATGTCTTCTGGGGGCAGTGAATAACCATGGCTCTCTCAGGACCAGGCAGTGGTACAGAAGAGGTTCAGCCAGAGGTTTAGCCACCTCTGGCTTCCTTGCTGCCCGTCCTTACAGCCAAGATTATTTTCCTGCTGACTATGGACCTCCTCTGAGGGCTTACAGACTCACAAGTCTTTTGTTGGGAACCAAGTTCTGATGTTCTCAAATTCTTCTGAATTAAATTAGGTTATTCTGGATTTTGACTTGACATTTTATAATAAAGGACAAGCTGGAAGACAGGCACTCTGATGGTTTTCCTTTGCACCCCAAGTGTGATCCCCAAGCTCCTCTTGAAGATTCTAGTGCGTTTAGGGCATATCTCCTTCCTCTGCTACATTCTCACGTTCAGTACTCTCACTAGTTCTAGAGTCTACTCCATGAACACACTGCAGTATCTTTCTTTACGGAAGAATAGACCCTTCTGCTTTTACCTTCTCTCAAGGCAAATCAGGTCTCAGCACAACAAAGCCTTGTGTTTTTGCATTATTGTACATGAAGCAATGGAGACTTTTTAAACTGATTCTCTTTACAGAAGACAGAGAAGCACTCCTTTATTTTGTAGGGACAGAAGGAAGTTAGAGCTCTAGAAATTCCTGGCTGCCCTGGGAGGAATTCATGGCACTATTTTTTCAATGTATATATAAGTTTTAATTTCCTACAACAATTAAAAAACTCTTTAAAGTTTATTTTTTCTTGCACTTGTGCAGAAATTCATTGACCCAGTGACAAAGAATCCAGGAAACAGTGATGAGAATGGTGAGACTTAGGTGGAAGTGGCCATGGAGTTGCTTTACTTCTTCCTTTTCCCTGTATCATCTAAATTCTAAGACAGAATGGTCATTCACTGAGTACCACACACATACAAAGAAAGGGGACTTTAAAAAATTAAAAAGGAAAAAGTAATAAGAACTATGGTAGTAATAAAACCCAAAATGTGTAAATTTTGTTGTAAAAAAGAGAGAAAAAAAGTGCTCTAGAGGATACAACTGGAAGTGTGTTTAGGTGTGTTAAGATAGATGACCATATTACTGAGTTTTTGTTGGATCATTGAACACAACTGTTTGCAGTCTCACTGTTTGAATGTCCACTTTGTATCTTTAATCCTGTAACTTGAACAACTATTTCTAAGATGACAATATGTAATCTATTAACTAGTGATTTCTTACTGTTTTTTTTTTTTGTAATTCTATATTATTTGTACCCTATACTGTTTTGTTTTGATTTTCTTTTTTCCTTTTAAATAAAAATTTTTTAAAAATTAAAAAGGGAGAAGAAATCTACAGTGGACAGATGGCCATTGTCTGGAAGGCTAAAACTCCAGGTTAAGAATTAAAATGACTGAATATTTGGAGATGAAATCATGCAAACCTCTATCCAAAGCAAAATGGAGAAACAGAGAGACAGGAAAGGATAAGGTGATGGCACCATAGCAACGCTTCCTTCTCATATGGCTTGTCTGTCATTCCTGGGGTGGAAGGGAGCCTGAGTGGCCAAGGCAGAACCTGTATGCAGACCAGTGGTAGAAGGAGTAACACAAACGCTCTCATTCTGAATGAGATTTTCTCTCTCTTCCCAGTAGTATTTCTGTCTACTGGATAGACTGCAGGTCTGCTTCAGGGCCAAACATACTGGATAGATTCACTCAGTCAGGAAGCACTGTGGGCCACGAACTTTTCAAAACACTCAGGGTGCAGGGACCATGGTGGACAGAAGTCCTGCCCCAGTGGTGCTGACCTGTAAATAGGAGAATAAAATTAACATATGTCGAAAAGCAGATCAAACTATAGGTGATGAGAAAAAAAAAAAAAAAAAAAAACCTTTGGAAATAAGTGAAGATGTCTTTGTCCTCTTTGTGCTGTTAAAATACAACAAGTGAGGTTAGGTAATTTATTAAAACAAAACAGAGATTTATTCTTTACAATTCTTAAAGCTGGAAAGTCCAAGGTCAAGGAGCCCACACCTGGGGAAGGAATTCATGCTGCATCATCCCAGGCAGCAGGCAGAATAGCAGAGCAAGGAACGAGCAACAGGAGGCATAATACACTTTTATAAGGAATGTACTCTCAGGATAAATAACTCACTCCTGTCATGCTCTGTAGCAACGCTGATTCACTGAGCTCTGCCCTTAGGACCTTCCCAGCCCTTCAAGGTCTGGTCTCTCAACAATGCTATGCTGGGAAGTAAACTTCCAACCCCTGAACTTTGGGGAGTGCATTCAAACCACAACAGCAGGAGGAAAAGACATGTAAGACCTTCTTGGAACAGGCATGCAATTTAAAATACAATGAAGGAAGGCATCTCGGAGACAGTGACATTTGAATGATGACCTGAAGAAAGTAACAGACATCCAGCAGAAGTGCGTTCTGAGCAGAGGAAGCGTTAAGTGCATAGATCCGGAGACAGGAGTTGCCAGTTCTCTGCAGGGATAGCCAAGGAGGCCAACGTGGCAGAAGCTCAAGGAGCAGAGCACGAGGGGCTGAAGTCAGAGACTGTACAAGGCGGATCTGAAAGGACTTCACTCGCCATTCCCAGAATTCACACTTTTGTCATGAGTCAAATAAAAACTATCAGAGAGTTTAAGTTGGTTGCAGGATTATAGGATCTGCATATTAAAATGTTTCTGTTGCTATGTTTGAAGTAGCTGGTACGTGAGCTACAGGCAGAATCAGGGGGTCACACTATTAAAATAAAACAGATCAGCGATACTACTCGCTAGCACCGCACTGGGAATGCTAGAGAAGTAAATGGATCCTGGACGTGTTTTGACCACAGAACCAAGAAGATTTGCCAATCAATTGGATGTGGGGTGTGACCATGGAAGAGTTAGGAAATCTTGGTGTAAAAGAAAAATGAAATTATCATTTACAGAGGAGGAGAAGATCCTTTGGATAAAATCTTTTGGATACTCAGCTGGAAATGCTCAACTAGGATTAAGATATCATTTTGTGATGTTTCGTTTTCAGGGAAGGCACAGACTTGGTCTATAAATTGGGAGTCATCATTCTATGGATGATGTTATCCCACAAGTCCACGGTAGAATAAGAATAAAGTGAAGTAATGCTTCCGAACTGAATCCTACAGCATGCGGAGCTTTAGTGGTGAGGAAGCTGGAAGGCAAAGAGGGGGAGTGATTGACACGAAGTTCCAGTGAAGAATAGGAGGGTAATATGCCTGAAGAAATGAGAAAATCTCTGTAATGCAGAAGAAATGGTCATTGAATCAGTTGCTGCCAGTAGGAATATGATTTGCAATACCCCTGCCTTGGAGGTAGTATCAAGAGACACTCTTTTAAGGAGAATGAGACGGGCTCCATGCAGAAACACAAAGACAGTAAGAAAAAGCAGCTGTGTGGGAGCATTTTACTATGGAAATGTGGCAGCGACTGGGGAGAAATTTGGCAGCAAGGGAAGGAGTTTTGCTGATAGAGGAATTACACATTTCCCTCATTTCCTAACAAAAACACTTGTGTAGGAGTCAAAGTTGCTTTATGAAGCAACATCGTTGAGTAGGCAAGAGGGGATGTGAAAATGTGCAAAGATTGGCCTTGGACACAAATATGGGCTGTGTGTTTGTCCTGACTGGGAGAAAGGTGACTGGGCCATGCAGATACACATCAGGTATAAGCAGCGTCATGAAAGCTCTGTCTTCTGTGTTCCCTGGTTTCCCCGGTTAAATAGGAAGTAAGATCACAAGATTTTAAATCACTGTGCCACCAGTCTTTGTGGGATCAAGGTGCTAGCACAAGTAAATTAAAAGGCAGAGTGAAGTGGGGGACAGGCGGGACACCAGAAGCTGAGTTCAAGGACACTGATCATCTGAAAGCCAAATTCTGAAGAGGACAGAAAAGTAAAAGAACTAAGAAACCATGCAGTTCCTGAAGGGGTGGCCTTAGCTGACCATGAAACTGCTAATTTGCTATATGAACAGTAATTAAGATTAAAAGAACACATTGGATGCTAAAATCTTAGAAGAATAAGGCTTGGGAGTGAGCTCTACAGATGCCTGAGGGGAGCAGGGAACTGATGAAATCAATCAAAAACATTACACTGGGATCGGGTTCCCACTGATGAGGAGGAGGGAGTGACTGAAGGCTGTGATGGAGCAAGAGGACTCACATCCTATTTGCAGACTAGGGTTACAGAGAAACAAAAAGGAAAACACGAAAACCCTGCACAACTAACGGGCTTGTGGAGAAGCACTGTTCCTGTTTCAGTTAGAGTGAAGCAGTGTAAAGAAGGGGCACAGGATCAGTGGGTGGGTCGGGGGAGCTTCCCTGTTACTGATCTGGGGGTATGAAAACCTCAGTGGGATGTCTTGAGGATTAGAAAGAGGTGAGGATGAGATCAGTGGGGTTTGTAAAGGTGTGTACTGGGGGGAGTGACGGGGAAGGGGAGATGATCTTATTTTCTAAAAGAGAGGCGGGCTAGTCTTGGACAGCACACTGGTGATAAAGCTGTGCATGGTAACAAGTAGGGTGGGGGTCTCCTCTAGAGCTCCCAGAACTCTAGGACTCTTCTTCTCCTTATTAATGGTGGTGTGGAAACCAAGGGGAAGGATCATGAAGCCTGAGCTCTTCGGCATTGTTGTTAAAGTTCTTTGCTTTTTTTTTCATTCATTGCACACATGCCTCCCTGGGCCTACAGACCCTGACTACCAGGAGATAGACTATCACAGGGAGGAAAGGCTGTTTCTGCCCTGACACTCAGGGGTCTCTTAAGAGAACTGTAGGAAACTGACTCCATTCACTCATTAGCATCTTTCTCTGTAAGGTTCACTGGACATCACTGTTAAGGAGGATTTTAAGCGGGGCAAGGGTGAGGTGGTAAACAAGTAAAGATGCTGTTGTTGTCATCCAAATAAGAAGCAAGAGAACATAAGGAAAATTCGAGGGATAAGGAAGAGGCAGTGGATTTGCAATGTATTTTCTGGATGTATAAATGACAGGACTTGGTGACGGATTCAAGCGAGGGAAAAGGCAGAGTCAAAGACAGTCTAGCCCTGAAAGGAGAAGCCCCTCGGATGATTTGTGTGTGTGTGGTGGACACATGATGAGTTAGAGATAGCCAAGCAGTGTTAAAATAGTCATCGAAGATCACTACAGTAGGTTGTTCCATAAACAGCGCTTTTTTCACACTTCACCATGTTCCAGACAGTCTCCTACGTTCCTGACACACACTGACTCCCACAAAGGAGATGCAGGCGGACACCTTCCATTTCACAGAAAAAGGAACTGGGATGCGAGGGGTTAAATCACTTTTTCCAAAACTACACTAGATGTGCATCCATCCCAAAATTTACCCATAATGCTGTGCAATCTTTCCAGCACACATTCGATTATCTTGGTCTGAACACCTAATACTGCAGAGAAGGACATCCAAGCTGAAAATACACATGTGGGCCACAATCATGGATGATACAATTTAAGGAAAGAGTGGATATAGAGGAGAAGAAATATTGATTCATGAGAAATTGGGAGGTATTGGAGTGGCTACTCCATACTGAATATTGAGAAATACTTGATTTTAAAGGCGTGATGTCTTAGTTTTCTCAAAATACCCTATGACTTAATACAACACTTATTATGCTATATAGTTCTGGTAGCCAGAAGTGTTAGATCAAAGATGTCAGCAGGCTTGGTCCCTTCCAAGAGGTCTGGAAATAAATCTGCTTTGTGTGTCTCTCTTAGTCCTGGTGGCTGCTAGAGGTCCTTGGAGCTTCTCAGCTCATGGATGTATCACGTGTCTCTGAAGACATCTACACACGACATTCCTCCTTGTCTCTTTAGGTCTCCAAATCTCTCCGCACATTAAGAACACTGGTCACCACGTTTAATGCCCAGTCTATTCCAGGAGCACCTCATTTTAACTTGACAGCATCTACAAAGACCCTGTTGCTGAGAAAGGTCATACTCACAGGTGCTGAGTGGACATTAATTTGGAAAGGGGAGGTTACTATTGGCTTATTAGACAGAGAAAATGTGAAATTACTTAATAATCTTTTTATTTTAGTTCTTATTGATTAGGTGCAGACTTCCCAGGGCTTTAGATCCCTGAACTTGGGCTCATCTGCAAAGCATCATTTTTCCCTACTCTGGGAATATTATTTTTTTTATCGTACACAGTGTTTTGGTCCTGTCTTTTGCCAGATGATCACAGCCATTGAGGTCACTGCTTACCAAACTTGTTAAAATATATGATGTTTCTCACAGCACACACCCCCCCCCACTGAATTTCTGAATCAGTAACTCATGGGTATAGCCCCAAACTGCACTTCCAATAAGTGCCCATGTGATACAATGTGGAAGCTGCTGGTTCCAGGCCATGATTTCAGAACTGCTCCCCTAGATACCCAGAAATCAACTTTCTCCTCCTCTGTGTTTAGGGGAAAAAGATCACATAGGCCAGTTACTATTTCTGCCTTCTGTGTAGTTAATGACTAGTTAACTAAAAAAAGAACCTGAGAGATGCAGTGACCTTGTTGTTTGTGCTGCTATTGTTGTAATGTTGACAATTATTACTCTACCTATCCCATTACAGGTTGTGAAATGTCTACAACACTGTATGTTTATGTAGCTGTTGAGCCAGTGGGAGAGTGGATATCACTGCCCCATTTATTCAGGAAAACTTAAGGTCTTGGCATAAATATCTTGGAAGATATCATCATCAAATGATTGTGGATGCTGTGTTGTGAAATCAAGCCTTTGTATTCAAAAACAGCACAATCTCTACCACTGG